ATTTTCTATAAGGGTTGGGGTTGGAGCCATACTCCATTTTACATTTAACTGTTTAAACTGATAGAGCTGATGTAGTTTTTCTGTTAGGAGACAATGTTTGACAACATGTGAATCATGAACATCGTAATTAGTTAGCTTAATTTGGGCGAACTAGCAGTACTTTTTTATCATACAAAAAACGCACCACAGTTACTAGCAAGCAAAGTAAGGTAATTGCAAATCTCTGTATTCAATTTTAGTTAAATGTGGATCAGTAACATCTATCAAATGCTGACTTGACAACAGGAAATTTGCGTTTCGTCAAAGCTTTAGAGTCCTGTTTTAACATTATTAACGTTAAAGCTATACAGTCACACTATAAACTGGCTCTCCAGCATCAGCTACCGTTAGCTAACTTGTCATCGAACTTACCTGGGGGGTTAAAAGTGTCTTAAGATACTTCAGTTGCATTTTCGAAAGTCTTTAGGAAGCTCGCACAAAGAATAATGTTATTAGTACCAGGATATTTTTTAGATATTGGTCATTTTGTTGACCAGCTGCAAGCTAGCAGCTAGCAAGGAGGACATCTTTGTAGTAAACATAACTGTGATCTCCTTAGTTACGGATGGGGCGGGGCCTATATGGTGCATTTAATACCGTGGGAAAAATCAAAGACTCTCAGCAGTTTGTCAGTTCGGTTGTTCTGTTTCGACAAATGTATGTTCGTCAAAACATAGTTTGTAGGGTCAGAAATAACAAGTGAAATGCAATTATATGTATATACATTAAATCCAACAGGTGTGTAAGTGTCAATTTTGCAGATAAAACATTTTAAAGATTTTTTCTTAGAGCAGTGTTTCTTAAGCTACAGTTTCGTCACTGTTATATAGCAAGTGACATGACAGGAACGAATGTAAAATGTTGTGTGTGTTAAAACTACGAGTGTTAACTGCCAGAAATAAAAGAGGTTAATAGTCGAGCGACTTGAATGCCTGGACTGAAAACAAAGAGGAGGGGGGAAAAAAATACTGTGGAGATGCCGGGGATTGAACCCGGGGCCTCATACATGCAAAGCATGCGCTCTACCACTGAGCTACATCCCCTTCCGTGAACGCTGTGCAGGAAGTTGTCGTTTTATCCATACAGCATAGCATTCATCAGTACCCATCATGTGTAATGCATAGGATGTAGTAGTATGTACAGAACTGCTGCTCAAAATTCTGTTCCCCACAAATAAACAGTGTTTTGTCACTTGATCCATGTCTGTCACGCAACGTTTTACATATTAATTGTCAAATAACTTAGCGGACCACTCAACACATGAATCTGTGATGGTTATACGGAAGTTTATTATTTAGTTTCAAAAAGTAAAGTGTATTGTACATCTAAATACTTCTGAATTAATCATTGAGAATGTTACAGATGCATGTTTGGTCCATTATTTGGAAAAATCAAAAAGCAAACCCTTAAAACACCTTATTTCATAAGTCATCCATTCATTATTTAACTTCAAAAGATTCTTTCCCCAGACCAAGGGCCACAACAAGAAAGCTTATCTACTTTTTCAGCCTGTAGCTCAGCTCTTCATGGACAAATTTATCTATAATGTTGTCCATCAAGTTAAGGTGTTTTTAGTTGATTAAGTTGGTAATGTAATACAAAGTGAGATGAATGTTGTGTTTGTTTCCTCACAATGTCTGCAATAAGTGAAAAACAGATGTAGAATCCTTCACTTTCGCCAATAAAGTTAATCAACAATGTTTATCTTAAATTTAAAAGCACTCCAGAGTTCTCCAAAGTTAGTTAAGACACGATCAGAAAGCCAACTAACATTAATAATAAGCATAATAGCACTAGAGTCAAGAATAAAGAAACAGTATATTGTTTGCATTTAAACATCTGACTGGATGTTACAACGCTTTTTGGACATTTACCATGGGTTCAAACAAGCAAGAATAAATCTGATATTGATTTTGTTCTAAGCATCCCCATGTTGGTGTAGCACTGTTCTCCTTTTTATCTTATTCCTCTATTGTACCTCAATGATCAACAGCAAAATTGTGCTTTTATTTGAGCAAATTTCCTATTATTTCACCCCTGTCTGTATAGTATTTGTACATTGTATTATTGTTAGAAATTTGTAATCTTAATTATGCATAGAGATATAAAGATTTAACATGAATAAAATGATGTAACCATTTTTCAAAATGATTGTGTTCATGTAGAACAACATACAAATGAGTAAATTCTATTAATTTTGAAAAGATATATGCACAGATGTAGACGTGTAGAATCAACATCCCTGATTGGTCACTACATGAACGTGTTTTATTACTCATAATGTGCAAAGTGCTTTACATGTAAGAGCAGAGATTGTCATTGTATTTGTTCGGGCTTCAGTGTTTCACTTGAGTGTTTAAAAAACAGCATTAAAAGGCCCTGCACTCACGGTCAGACACGTACCACATGTCCACATGCATTAGAATATGAGCTGCTGTTAAAGTGTCATTGAAGAAGACACTTTACCCCATCATGAGCTCCTCAAATGGAGGTGTGCAGTAGCAGGATGTGGTAAATAAACTGCAAAGCTCCTCGTCTGTAGGTCACATTTACTGCTGGCTTTTAAAAATGTAAACATCTGATGATTCATCCTATCAGGCTGCTCATTAACCCTGTATTTGACCACAGCACCAGCTTTACACTGAAGTAGGTGACGGGTCAAACACAGCGATGGACAGTCCTCAAGAGACACTTTTTATATTTTGCACTGGAAATGACATGCATACAGAACATATGTCAGGTGTAGGATTTAGGTGAAAAGCACATTGTGCTTTAGATCATTGTGATAATAACAAACACACAGCAGCAATTATTTGTTCACAGGAGATTGTTGGACAAATCTACAAACAGGAAGAATTCTGTTTGGCCAAATGGTGGCACCAGACAAAATGAAAGACCTTGGTGAGTCCAAATTGGCGGAGAAGACTTTATTTTGGCAGCATCAATGTGCGTAAATGTGAGCAAAGAGGTGCATTTACTTTAATAATGTGTGCAATATATTTAAGTAAAGTTTTGAGATATTTTACATGAGTATTTCCATTTTGTGATACCTTAAAGGGTAATTCTGCTCATACACATTACAGAGGGAAATGCTAGTAAACCAATTATATTTGTTTAATTGCTTTTTTTCACTGATTAGTGGTGAAAAATCAGATTAGTAATACCAAATTAACTCAGCCAATAATTCATGTTTTGTTTATTATAGACTGAGCCCCTCAACTTTATATAAAATACTAAAAATCTTGATAAGTGGGCCACTTTACTGAAGTAGGATTTTGAATGCAGAATTTTAACTTTATTATTTATTTATTTATTCATTTATTTATTTTTTTACAAAGACCTGATCTAAAACTCGTATTTTCGTTCGTGCGCTGGTTTGATGTCCGAGTTTTAATCATTTTTAAAGAAATGTGGAGCAACATCGCAGAAAAGAAGCCGGCTGTTGAAGAGTGACTGCTGAAGGTACCCGCCCCACCCCCCTCCTCAACGTGGTGACGTAAGTGACGTTTAAACACGGTTAATTTGCCAGATTATACCGGAAATAGGTTATCCTTCCTTCAAATTAAAGCCTTACACGCGTTACATTGCAGTTTTTAAGACTTAACATCACACACTCAAAGGCACGTTGCTTGCAAAAATATAACCGTTTATTATTAAATCTTTTCAACAAAAAGCAAGTACAACAAAACTGCACGGGCGGTTCCTCTCTGTCAAAATTAGACCACATTTACTTTTGTGATTTGCAATATTAAGCTATGGACTCTTTTATTACTTTTTTTTTGTTTTATTGTTTTTAGTTCTTCTTCAATAAACATATTATCTTTGTCATCAAGGTCTGACTGCAAAATCCCCCCCAAAAAACTCCTAAATTTATATTGGGGTTAGTATATAGTTTACTTATGGCCTATAGCAGTTCATTCTTACTGCTGCAGCTGTTTAGAAATCACTCAAACGTGTAAGGTCAAAATACATGTCTGATCCATTTGAAGTGTATCAAGCCTGTACAGCCCTAAGAGTTTCAAGAAGGATTCAAATGGCAGCATCTCCAGTTAGATTTAAACAGAGTAAAGCTGATTATTGCAACCATATTCTGTTTTCCACTGCAGGAACTCATGGGCCATTGTTTTGGTGCACTTGGATTCAATGTTGTGGTCGACGCTTTTGGTTCCTGCACTGGAAAGTAAAAACAAAAGGCTAAAAGGGCCAATTACTGGGCTGTTCCTGAGCCACCTCACTGACTGACTTAAATTCATACGGTGTGAAGCTGCCTTGTACAGTTTGAACCACCTTCTGGGGGATTGAAAATGTGCCTAAATATCTTTCAGATGGAAATGAAAGTTCTGTTGTTCCTGGTTCCTTTGATTGACTGGTTTCATTTTTGAGCTCTTACATCCAATATACAGCTGTACTGTAGCTATGCTGGTAAACTGTTGTCCATGTCAGTGTGTTTTATTTTGGTTGTATAGGAATAGAAATAGAAAGTACAATGAAATTTAAAGAACTGCTCCTAAGGTGCACCAGCAATATACACTATTAGACATAAAAGACATATATTATAGTACTTTACACAACCCAATAAAACACTGTAGAACATGATTTTAAAAAAAACAAAGCATTCGCAGTTTCAGGGCAGGTTTGAGTTAAGTATGGTGGCAGCTTTGGGGAAGAAGCTGTTCCTGAGTCTATTTGTTGTATTGTTTTATATTTTATTTTTTTTTTTTTATCTGACTGTATTTTATTATCTTAGTTTGTTTTGTCTTAACTGACTTTTAAAAAAATTGCTTTTGTCTGTTTATGCCATTGTAGTTATTTTCTTGGCTTGTGTAAATCCTCGGTTTGAAATGTTCTGTCACTAAAGTGGACTTTTACTTTGAAAATCCTGGACGTGGATGCGGAGCGTCAGTGCGTCAAACTTGACCGCTGCACGCTGCGGCAGACTTCCACGCTGCTGGCGGCGCGTGTGGAACACTTTGCTCCCATCGTCCCGTCCTTCTCACCGGTGAACAATCCAGCTAAACTCACTTTTTCACTTTCTTCGCTCCGGCTTGTACACAGGATTCATTAAAACGCTGACAGGTTTGTGTCCGGCCGCTAAATCTGGTGTTAGTCGTTTTTTTTATTATTATTTCCTTAGTCTCATCTGCATCTCCTGCGTCTTCGCGCGGCGTGAGGTTCACGTGGACTCATCACCGCTCCGAAACATTCATCAGTCATCCGGTAACCGAGCTTAGCTTTAGCCGCCTCCCACACAACATGGCAGAGATGGCATCCCTGATTCTGGAGGACGGGACGACGTTCAGAGGCCGCCTTTTTGGAGCGAACGTGTCGGTGTCGGGAGAAGTTGGTGAGTCACGAACTTGTTAGCAAACTTCACTTTAACCCTGTGCTGCCTCAGTTAGCGCCAACAGAATCCACCTGTGTGGGCAGATGACTTCTGCCGCTGTGTGTTTTGAGAATTTTGACGTTTTATGTGCCTCAGCGGACACCTATCAGGGTTCTAACACCCAAATCCCCCGAGAACCTGTCTCCTGTTCTCCCCGTGGGAGCGTGCAGCCAAACTCTGTTCAAAAATCAATCAATTAAAAGTTGAGTTAGCAAATGTTGTCATTTGTCATGCGCGTAACCCACGTGTAATTTCTTGTCCTCTTGTAAATGCCATTCACAAGTAAACCGTGATTTTTACTCCACCTGTGATATGTTTACAAGCCGAATTAAAGATGAGATAATAGTGATTTTATACAAGTCCAAACTTTTGTTTATGAGGTGTATAGCGTTGCCAGTGAGCTTGGCAGCTTTAAAGTGGCGGAATTTTAGACGTAGTCTGGTGGGGGAAAACTACTCTCAATTAACCGGAATGCAGATCTACTGGTAGAAAAACCCTCCCATCTGGATGCCATAATCCATGCAGAGGTTTGTTACAGAAACACCAGTAGGTGGGTACAATTTAAATTTACTGCTGAGGAAAAGTTTGTCCAACACAGTCTCAATTAAAAGTCAGCAGATGCAAACAATTACAGAAGTTGTGTGAGTTGATGCTGAGCACAAGTAAACATTTTGGTGAGCGATGCACGAATGTGACAGATGACTGTGTGGATCGTGTACTGATGGGTGTTTTGTGTGCTCAGTGTTTCAGACTGGCATGGTGGGATACCCCGAGGCGCTCACTGACCCATCCTACCGCTGCCAACTGCTGACCCTCACTTACCCTCTGGTTGGTAACTATGGTGTACCAAAGGATGAAGAGGGAGAATTTGGACTAAGCAAGGTGGGTGCTTATTGAAAGTTTTGCTTCAACTTTTTTGATCATCGTGCTTCTTTTTGGGTAGAAATGTGGTTTAGATGAGCCTGTGTGCACTACTAAAGTGCCCTCCTATAGGGATTTTTTTTCCCAGTGGAAAGCCAAAAGTAAAGGGTAAAACTATTTGACTCTTTTGTTCTTGGAGGTAGTTTTGATGAACTGCTTTACATCGACACTGCAAAGTGATGTTTTCTTGGTGTTGCTGTCTTGCTCAGTGGTTCGAGTCGTCCAAGATTCATGCTGCAGCGCTGATTATTGGAGAGCTGGCAGAGAGTCCCAGTCACTGGAGCTCAGTCAAGTCACTGGACCAGTGGCTCAAAGAGCAAGGCATTCCTGGATTACAAGGTCAGAAAATCTTCATCTACAATCATGCAGAATGAAGTCTTATATTCATATTATAAATGACTGATCTGACACATAAATCAATGTACTGGTTTCTGTTTACTTCAGGCGTTGACACTCGCCGTCTGACCAAAAAGATCAGAGAGAAGGGCACCATGTTGGGGAAGCTGGTTGTGGACGGGACTCGTGAGAACAACATTCCCTTTGATAACCCGGACCAAAGAAACCTGGTGCAGGAGGTCTCCATGAAGGTAACCCACTCTGACTTTTGTTGCCATCTCACAGCAGCACTCGCAGCTCTCCGGGGATTGAAAGGTTGAATAATTCCCCCTTTTTTAAATGATAAACTCTGAACCTTCAACTAAAAACTGAACTTTATGCATGTTGTCTGCCTCAGACTCAAAAGATCAGGCAAAGATCTTAAATGTATAACCAAACTAAAGCTTGGATTCAGTGTTACACATCATAACTAAGAAATAAAAGATCTGACAAGGTTGTAAACAACACTTGCTTCTTCTGACCCTGATTGCTGGCTGCCAATTTTTTTGCCTGTTAAAATTTCGGTTGTTTCTCTTCTGATTGTCTGCAGGAGCCACAAGTGTTCAACCCGAGTGGAAGTTTGCGAATCACAGTGGTGGACTGCGGCATCAAGTACAACCAGATCCGCTGCCTGGCTCAGAGAGGAGCCTGTGTTACTGTGGTGCCCTGGGACCACCCGCTGGATTCCTCCGGTCAGTGACACACAACATACAGCTGAGTTCATTCAGACTTTCAGACGGTGTGCAAAATGTCAATAAGGATTGTAGGATGTCTTTATCATGCTCTGACTCATTGTTTGATCCTGTTGAGCCATGCGGTTGGATGGGTTGGCATTAGCAGCGGTACTGGAGATTCAACAGCCATACATTTTGTTAATTTAACTGTCACACTGAATTATCAAAAATTACTACACCGTAAATTCCAGAAGCATCTTTAAGTTCACTTTTATTCTCTGGCTAAATCAAGCACTACAATTCATTTCTGTCATCTTAACTACAACCTCAGCAGCTGTTTGTCCCGCTGTGTTTGAGATTCTGGCATGTATGGATAACTTAGGTGTTTTTTTAATTGTCTGTTCCAGATTTTGATGGGCTGTTCATCAGTAACGGTCCCGGGGATCCCCAGCTCTGTCAGGCCACCATCAACAACGTGAGGAGGGTGGTGTGTGTGGATCAGCCAAAGCCAGTTTTTGGTATCTGTCTCGGACACCAGCTGCTGTCTTTGGTCATCGGAGCAAAGACCTACAAGATGAAGTCAGTAGCTCCATCTGAACACTCGCATACACCAACAGATAACGTGATTAAACCAAACTGTTTGAAGGGATTCTGAACAAAGACTGCGATGTCTGTACAAGTACATTCTTGATTTATCACTAACATTTGTGGCCAACAGATTGAGTTATCTGATTCTAGTAAACTGTAATGCTTTTACACTATGTTAAACTGTTAATTGATTGGCCAGTTGAGCAAAAGACACATTTAAAGAATCAAATATAATTTAATTTATAACGTCGTGACGGCATTCACTCATGTCTGGAGCTCAGTCGGTCTTTTGCCAAGCTTACAGAAGATTTTTGGAACAAGACAAAGACAGAAATGTGCCCTCAGTGACCCTTTACACTCTCTAGAAACACAAGACTTTCCCTCTCACACACTTTCTTTGGGAGAGCTGTGATGTGAAATGCAGGTTTCTGCTGTTCTCAGCAGTCTGGCGTCTCCTCTACGAGCACCGGAGTGTTGGACTGAGCGGTTTTGTTATGAAAAAGGCTGAACAAACACGACAGCATACAAGCCGAGGCGGTCTGCACCTCACAGACACATCTGAGGGGTTCGAAGAGGGCAGCTTTATCAGGCTCAGTGTGAAGGTCAGGGTGGCCAGCAGCAAACGTTCCCATTGCCCTGCTGGAATGCTGTTGGCATCTCAAGAGACAGATTACAGTTAGTTTGCAGGGATTCCTGTAATTGTAACAAACTACAGTTATCGACATTTGGCCCTGAATCCTGTTCAGTCTTTTCTTTTTACTTGGATAGAAGATTGAAAGCCCTGTCAAATTGAGCTAGTTGTAAATATCCACAGTGAGAAATCAATAAAGTTATCTTATCTGGATTATACTGACACTCAAATATAAGTTGGTGTCTGGTAGATGCTCTTCTGCTAAAACACACTTTGTTTTGCATGTTAACACTGTGTAGCCTTTTCATCCTTTAAAAAAAAAAGCATTTTAAGGAATTTGAATTCCATTTAATTGATAGTTTCAGTTATTTCCTACATGAATTCATCCATCCATCATCTATACACCGCTTAATCCTCACTAGGGTCGTGGGGGGCTGGAGTCTATCCCAGCTGACTCAGGGTGAAGGCAGGACACACCCTGGACAGGTCACAAGTCTATTACAGGGCTACACTTAGAGACAGACAACCAAGCACACTCACACTAACCCTAACCCTCGGTCAATGATCGGAAGGTCGGCGGTTCGATTCTGCCCTATAACCTGTGTCATGGTGGTTGTGTCCTTGGGCAAGACACTTCACCCACCTTGCCTGGTGTGAATGCGTATGAATGGATTGTTTGAGGTGTTGGTCAGAGGGGCCGTAGGAGCAGAATGGCAGCCGTGCGTCTGTCAGTCTGCCCCAGGGCAGCTGTGGCTGTAATCGTAGCTACCACCACCGGAATGAATGTGTGTAAATGAATAATTTATAGTGTGTATGCGCTTTGAGTTACTCCCTGAGTAAGACAAGCGCTGTATAAATCTAATCAATTATTATTATTAATATGGATTTTGTTTCACATGAAGAAGCTTTGTTGAAAAGCATCAGAATGTTGTGGCTATTGTTAATATGGCAGATGCAATAGGCTTTCTTTACCTTTCTCACACGCCATTAAAACCCCAAATGATGGAACAGTTACAGCCTCTACCGCTGGTAATGTCTCATCAGAAGCTGCTCAGGTTAAGGAATCCTCATAGACTACAAGTGTATCACTGTACCTAAAATATATCTCATGAGGGAGAGACTCACCACTGAAAGACTCCTCAGTAGAAATCTATTGGATTAAATTCCGTAACACTCAAGATGGCTGTTATGACACAAGCTCCACCCTGAAAAAGTTGATGGCCTGCGTTTAACATATAAACCAGGAAGCATCCAGTGAATCATGTCACTGTTGTGAAACTGTGCACATGCTTAGGAGAAGTAGAATCTCACAGAAAACTCTTTTTGAACTTTATTTTGTGGCAAAGTCGTCAGATTTTACCTTTAATTCTATACATGCAGTTTTTATTTCCTGGTGATCATTAAAATCACAGTCATGCCTCTCCACATATTTATTTTATGGTGAGAAACAACTATCTGAAGTGTTACTGAGAAGGCTGCAGAGGGGCAAAACTTGCCAATAAGGGCTTTGGTCAGTCATAACCTTTATGTTAAGAGTGGACAGCATATTTAAAACTGAGTTATTTTAAAGGGAATTCAATCTTTCTGTTGTTTCTCAGGTATGGTAACCGTGGCCACAACCAGCCGTGCATACATAACGGAACCGATCGCTGCTTCATCACAAGTCAAAACCACGGTTTCGCCGTCGACCCCGACACCCTGCCGAAAGACTGGGATGTGCTTTTCACCAACGCCAACGACCACACCAACGAAGGCATCGTACACAACACAAAACCTCTGTTCAGGTAACGGTCTCTGAGATGAGAACTTATACAGTCATTCACACCCAGAAGAATTATGTTAAAAATGTGATTAAATGCTTGTTTTTCCAGTGTTCAGTTCCACCCCGAGCACATGGCCGGCCCCACGGATCTGGTCGGCCTGTTTGATGTTTTCCTCAACACAGTAAAAGACCACAAAGAGGGCAAAGCTGCAAAATCTGGTAATTACCTTTTTAGCCTTTGTTTTTTATGCTTTGCCTTAAGGCCAAATTGTATTTAGATTTTAACAGCCTCATTGTGAATCATACAGTTGATTTCTGTAGCCAGCTAATCAGAATATTGTGCATCAGTGAAATATTCATGGAATGGCTAAAGACACCTTGAAGTAAACCTGGCTTGTGTAAAGGCTTCATGTTGTTGGAAACAATTTGTCGACAAACTGTTTAGTATTAAGTTGTGGTTTTTACAAATAGCAGCAACTAAGTGAAGTGCTTGTGTGTGACCTTCTCCAGTAAAGCAGCGTCTGATGGACCACCTCACCTTCCCTGGTTCACCAAAGGCTGAGGAGGTTTGCAGACCCAGGAAAGTCCTGATCCTGGGTTCTGGAGGACTGTCCATCGGCCAGGCTGGAGAGTTTGACTACTCCGGCTCCCAGGTCTGTCAAAGAAGACCTCTTTGGTAAAACTGTCTGTAGGGGTATTTTAGGATGACGTATGACAAACCAGGAGTCAGTGATTCTCTGAAGGAAAGCAATTCAGCTCACTTCTTGAGGCTAAAGTTGGTCCCAATATATTTACCCTTCTTTATTCCAGCTGATGTTATTCTGTTTTGCTTTCCAGGCTATCAAGGCTCTGAAAGAAGAGAATATCCAGACTGTACTGATCAACCCCAACATCGCCACTGTCCAGACCTCCAAAGGTCTGGCTGATAAAGTTTACTTTCTGCCGATTACACCAGAGTATGTGACACAGGTACGGCTTCCCTCTCTTGGAACTCTGTAGTCAGCAAAGTGTGATAACTCATGATGTAAAGGAGAATATGTGGAAATACCACCTACCTTTTGAAATATCCAGACAGGTTCCTGGAATGAATGCCGCGTGTCCTTCCACTTTGTTGTTGCAGGTGATAAAAAACGAGCGTCCGGATGGTGTCCTGCTGACTTTCGGCGGTCAGACTGCTCTGAATTGTGGCGTGGAGCTGACCAAGCTGGGCGTCCTGGAGAAGTACAAGGTCAAGGTTCTGGGAACGCCGGTTGCCTCCATTGAGATGACGGAGGACAGGAAGATCTTTGTGGAGAAAATGGAAGAGATCAATGAACACGTTGCTCCCAGCGAAGCAGCGCTGTCAGTGGAGCAGGTGAGTAGACACAATCCCCACAGAACACAGGTTTTATATTGTTTTTTTTCCTCTGGTTTTGATTTCGATTGATCTGTTTACTCTTGCTGTAGGCAGTGGCGGCTGCTGAGCGTCTCGGCTACCCTGTCCTGGTTCGCTCAGCGTTCGCTCTTGGCGGTCTGGGCTCCGGCTTTGCTAACAACCGAGACGAGCTCACCTCTCTGGTGACCGCAGCCTTCGCCCACACCTCTCAGGTGCTGGTGGACAAATCCCTGAAAGGCTGGAAGGAGATCGAGTACGAGGTGGTCCGAGATGCCTACGACAACTGTGTCACTGTGAGTAAGAAGAGCCTGGTGGACGAATAATAATAAACTGTATTAAAATATCTAAAAGTGATTCACAGTGGCTTTTCACAGTTGTTATTTTCATGGTGTGCTTCTTAACAATTTATGTTTGGTCTTCTTGTTTAGGTGTGTAACATGGAGAATATTGACCCTCTGGGCATCCATACTGGGGAATCCATTGTGGTGGCACCCAGTCAAACACTTAATGACCACGAGTACAACATGCTGAGGAACACAGCCATCAAAGTCATCCGGCACCTCGGCATCGTGGGCGAGTGTAACATCCAGTACGCCCTGAACCCTGAATCTGAACAGGTAAACATAAAGACCAGGGGGTTTGAAAGCACATAACTTGTCTGTGAGGAGAGGTTTGTGCTTGTCTTATAGTGTTAATAGTAATAGGCTGGTTTGTACAAGAATTAAAGCACACATCCATGCAAACACACAGTCTGTTGTAACTTGTGTGTATGACGTTTTGCAGTACTACATCATCGAGGTGAACGCCCGTCTGTCACGCAGCTCCGCTCTGGCCAGTAAAGCAACTGGTTATCCTCTGGCCTACGTGGCAGCTAAACTTGGCCTGGGGATCCCACTGCCACAGCTCAAGTGAGTGTCTCAGTTGAACGACGTTGGACAAATATGTTCATAAATCATTAGAATATCTAGGAAGAGCATAGAACTTGAATAATTTCAGTACTGATGTTCATGCTATTTGTGCCCCGCAAAGAGATTTGGAGAAGTTGGTGTTATGATAATGTTCAACAACCAAGGTAGCTGCACTGGTTTGGCCTATTTTGTTAAAGATTTTTAATAATTTATATATAATTTTCATAATTAGGTATTGTTTTGACAGCAGTACTCAAAAAAATTTAGTTATAGCAAGCCCTGCTCTGATTTTTATTTATTTGTTTTTGTCTGAACTCCAAGCAGTTTTTTGGTGTTTCTCTGTTTTTGTTACATTTTATTTATTTTTCTGTGGAAACGGCACACCCATGGTGAGAAACAAGTTGAATTTCTTTGATTATTTTACAAAAATGGGGGAAAAAAAGAGGTCAATATGTACAGCATGCATGGTGGTTTCACATGCTATGGATTTATGTACTGATTTTATTCACCGCTACAAACTAGGCTATTTTTATTTACAACTCTGTGCAAAGACATTTCAATATGCTGAATATATCCTCCAACTACTTGCTCCTCTGTGTACAAGTTGTTAACCAGGCTGCAGGTAGTTTATTGATCAAGTATGTACTGTACTGCTTTGATGCTTTTTTGGTTTGTTTCTGGTTTCGATGTAAATCCTCAACCTTATGACACCCTTCAATTGATGATTGAGTTATGAAAAATATTGACGGTACATCTTTATTTTTCTCTAGAAACTCTGTCACCAACCAAACAACAGCAAACTTCGAGCCTAGTTTGGACTACTGTGTGGTGAAGGTGCCTCGCTGGGATCTTAGCAAGTTCCTCAGAGTTTCTACCAAGATTGGCAGCTCCATGAAGAGTGTTGGTAAGAGAATAACTATGTTATTAGTATTTTCTTTGTTTAGAGCTTAACGGCACTGTCAGAAAGTAGGCCTATACAAATTCTTTTGGAGAATCAGAAGCCTCTTTAATGCAAATGAGTGTTAAGCTGGGCGATTGGCCTTTCAATCTCTAAGGTGGATAATTTAACAGAAAGGCCATCGCAGTTAGTTTAGATATTACACACAGCGTTTGAACCTTTTTCCCCAACAGGTGAGGTGATGGCTATCGGCCGTAGCTTTGAGGAGGCCTTCCAGAAAGCTCTGAGGATGGTAGATGAAAACTGTGTCGGCTTTGATCACACCATCAAGCCCGTCTCTGAAAAGGTTTGTACCTCCTCTCAGATTTTCCATCTTATTTTTTATTATTTGCATGTATTTTTAAAGGTGTGACTGTGGTAATAATAGTTACTGTTAAATATTATAATCCTTATTTTCTCAACCTGTGCTGAGTTACTCGGTGTCCAATACTTATGTTTGGTCAAACCGCCTTTTCAGTCTGTACCAGTGTGTCATACTAATAGGTTTGGGTTGGAAATGTCTGAGCAGGATCTAATGAAATACTTTATTGAATTGTAGTTATAGTGAAAAGCAGAATCAATGTTTATAGATTTTTTTTCCCCTACACATGCTGAATGAACCTTAGCACATGTTGGAGGAAAATGTTTAAAAAAATAAATAAAAAAAAACTCTTATTCTGCATTGAATAGGGGAAAAAAGGCCAGAAAATTCAATATAAAAGGTCAGGAAATCACCAGTCAGAGCTCAGGGCTTTCACATGGTGCAGCAGAGTCAGTGTTGTGGTGTTTAAACTGAGCCAACAGATGGCGCTGATGGTCTGCTGAGGCTTTACACTTCATTCTGTCAGCTTTATCTTTCAATAATGCTGTTAGCAGCTTCACTGCTCTTTTGTTTACTGAGGAATCTTTCACTTTGTGTTAAGTAGATCACTTTCCACTGGTACTGTGTGTGGCTGACAAATAGAAAATAAACCAACAAATCTTTACCAGATCTTCATGGCTGACCAACAAGCAGCACCACAATAGTGACTTATCTCAGTTTAAACATGTTATTGTTCCTTGCTCTCCCCCCTTCTCCCCACCAGGAGCTGCAGACTCCTACAGATAAGCGTATCTTTGTGTTGGCGGCGGCGTTCAGAGCCGGCTACACAGTGGACCAGCTGTACGAGCTCACAAAGATCGACCGCTGGTTCCTGCACAAGATGAAGAACATCGCCGACCACGAGCGACTGCTGGAGACGTACAACCAGGTAAAGATGATTTTACAATTACGATCACTTTCAAGTCGCTGTAAGGTAGATTCAGTTTCTTCTCACTCACATTTGTTTTAAAATTGTCCAGGATGAGAGCACCATGCCTCCAGAGGTGATGCGTAAGGCCAAACAGCTGGGCTTCTCAGACAAGCAGATAGCACTGGCTGTACAGAGGTGAGCAGGAAAGTCAGCACAGATGTGAGGGAACAGTCACAGAGTCATGTTGAAGTTGGTTGCAACAGTGGTTTGGCACAACAAACTGAGTAAGAAAATGTTGCTGAAAGATGACCTTGAAGGACAAGATGGGTCTTCTGCCATGAGGCTAACTTTTCATCAGTATACGGATAAATTAGACTGTAAATCAAGTGATATGAGATTGTCTTAAACACACAACAAATTGATGGTCTGAAGTTTATTTCTTTCTGTTTTCTTTTTAGTTTTTCCCATTTAATTTTTTTCTCCTCGCAGTACGGAGCTGGCTGTCAGAAAGCTGCGTCACGATTGGTCCATCCTGCCGGTAGTGAAGCAGATTGATACGGTGGCAGCCGAGTGGCCCGCCCACACCAACTACCTGTACCTGACCTACCACGGCACCGAGAACGACCTGAGCTTCCACGATCAGCACGTCATGGTGATCGGCTCGGGGGTGTACCGCATCGGCAGCAGCGTGGAGTTTGATTGGTGCGCGGTCGGATGCATCACAGAGCTCAGGAAGGTAAAGCCGACATGAGACGATCACACTGGAGACTCTGGGTCTCTTCCTGATTCAGCAACACTTAATGTGGTGTTTGCACATTAAGTATTTTCTCAATCTGATTTTGATCACGTGAATGAATTTATTAAATGCTAATAGATGTTAAACCAGTTTGTAAAGATGTAACCAGCAGTGTTCTGTAAGAGCATCTTTCATGGTTTAGCTCCTGACCTTTAACCTAAAATGAGAGATACTTCTCTTGCTGTGTAGCTCACAACACTGTGTTTAGGAAATGCAATGATAGCTAACTGTTTGTGTCTGGATCCAGTGATCAAAGTTACCAAAAGAGTATTACTTCATTTGCAGATGGGCTATAAAACCATCATGGTAAACTACAACCCAGAGACAGTGAGCACAGACTACGACATGTGTGACCGCCTCTACTTCGATGAGATCTCTTTTGAGGTAAGACTTTTCCACTGCAACTTTCAAATGCTTATCACTCACTTATTGTGTTGTTGCTGATCAGACACAGCTGTTATTCTCAGTTGATGTCAATTATTTTAGTTCCTATTTCTGTGGATTACAGCGGGCTGTATTTTAGAGGGGTCTTAAGTCAGTTCTGTGGGTGCAGCCTCACCCAAAAGTAAAATAAACAGCCTTATAAATGTACAAATAGCAGCGTCATTGCATTGCTTTGTGCTTTTCCCTGATGATTTCGAGGTTAATGTATGTTCATGCCCATCTCAGGTGGTGATGGATATCTACGAGAGGGAAAACCCAGAGGGAGTGATCCTTTCGATGGGAGGCCAACTGCCCAACAACATCGCCATGTCGCTGCATCGCCAGCAGTGTCGCATCCTGGGAACCTCACCTGAATTCATCGACTGCGCAGAGAACCGATTCAAGTTCTCAAGAATGCTGGACACCATCGGCATCAGCCAGCCGCAGTGGAAGGAGCTGTCTGAAACCGAGGTACAGTGGAGATATTTTAATAAAAAACATCAGATCGAGCTGATAAATGTTGCCACAATGTGCCAATAAATATCAAGATTCTGAAATCTAGACATTGTTTGAGATATGGATGCATTTATTCTCTGTAATAAAGCGACAACAAAAGTGTTTGCTTTATTGTTCTTTCCACAGTGCACAACCAAATGTTGTTCGGTTTTCACATCTCTGTCTTACTTCTTTTTTCACCTCCAGTCGGCTGTAAAGTTTTGTGAGAAGGTTGGTTATCCCTGCCTGGTTCGTCCCTCCTACGTTCTCAGCGGAGCGGCCATGAATGTCGCCTACAGTGACAGTGACCTGGAGAAATACCTGAGTAACGCTGTAGCTGTGTCCAAGGAGCACCCTGTTGTCATCTCCAAGTTCATACAGGAGGCCAAGGTACAGAACTAGACCATAGATTACCCACCAAATTCACCAAAGATGACAAGCTGTTGCTGTTAATTCAATGTTCTCTCAATATAAAGTTTATTAAATGAACTTAACAAAATTTTTTGTGTCCGTAATGTTTTTGCATTTTCCAGGAGATAGACGTGGACGCAGTAGCCTGTGACGGTGTCGTCATGGCCATTGCGGTTTCTGAACACGTGGAGAACGCCGGTGTACACTCTGGCGACGCCACCTTGGTGACGCCACCTCAGGACCTCAATCAGAAAACCATAGAGAGAATCAAGATGATCGTTCATGCCATCGGCCAGGAACTGCAGGTCACTGGACCCTTTAACCTGCAGCTTATTGCCAAGGTGAGAATCCTTCTGGAAATTCTTCCGTGTTAAATATGGATCAGACTCACAGACACTCTTGTTTCAAGGATAAGTTTCCATGTAGTCTTCAACCTTATGCTTACTAGATGGTTTTAAAATGCCAGAACAATGAGCCATTTGTGATTTTAGGTGGCACATGTGGCTACATGCAGTACAATTAACCAAGCAAAATGCTAATTAGTGAAACACATGTAGCCTGATGACACCCCATCAAATCACTGCTCACATCACAGATTTAAGTAGATTTAAAAACGAACCACTGTCATACTTTCATAAGCAAGACACATCAGTGGAAAAAAGATTTTAAAAAAAGAAAGCAATTTCAGCTTTAAGTCAGCTCAGAAAAACAGTCCCACTAGAGTCTATTTATTGTGCTGTCAACAATAACAACAACGACAGCTGATACTGGCACTGGCAGGACATATGCATCACCAACATAAATTAGCTTTAGCATGTAGACAGTGTCGGGCTTAATGAATGAAGTGGAACAAAGTGGGTTTTGAGTTTGATTATTCGGCTAAAGCATACCTAACCCTAACCACAGGAATGAACAAATGTACGTTGATACTACAATCAGGTTTATCCCTTTTGTTTTTCTTATTGCCTGGTGGTCCGATGATATTCTTCACTAATACATTTTATGAGGCGCGAGACTGTTCTCCTAATTCTCTTTATTTAACAAAGATCAAAGATGGTTCTCTCCTGCTGACATGGGTTGTTTACAGTGCTGTAGCAGACAGCCACATTTAGCTATGTTTGCATTTGCAAGTATTGATAAAGAAGCAGGAGAGGAAGTGAGTTTTAGAAAAAAACTGAAGTGGTATAAATTACAGAATGATGTAAAGAGGAGCTACAAGGATGACTGACTTCAAGTTGTTTAGTTGTCACTTTTGGAAACAAGGATTTACTGCTGTGGAATCGTTGGATTTGTGCGTTTTCTCTCTGTAGTAGAACATTTTAAGGTATTGTCTCTACTTTTTTTGACAGGACGACCAGCTGAAGGTGATTGAGTGCAACGTCCGAGTCTCCCGCTCCTTCCCCTTTGTATCCAAGACGCTGGGAGTGGACCTCGTTGCCTTGGCGACTCAGGCCATTATGGGGGAGAACGAGGAGCCTGTGGGCCTGATGAGGGGGAAAGGGATTGTAGGGGTTAAGGTAGGTTGACAGACTCCAATCAAGCATATTGTTCAGTTGTTGGAGTAATCATGGCTTATAATCTGTTAACATTTTCACCTCACAAGCCATGTTTTCATGTGTGTTCTGCACATTTTGAAGTATTGTTTTAGAAAAAGTTAACAGAAACATTGAAATAACTTTTAAAAAAAATACTTTTTGGATAAGGAATAATGTGCCTCATAGATGATGGGAACAGCTTCTTTTGTTGAATAAGTTCTGATTTGCTGTTTATGCTTATTTTGCTGTCTTTGTCTCTGGATACAATGAAACCCTGCTAATGCCAACTGACATGAAAGAATGATTGCAACATTCCTTATTTGAAAAAAATAAAAAATCATTGTTTCATTTGTAGATAACCAGAGTTTTTTGTTTTGTTTTTTGTTTGCAACTAGCTGGTGCTGCTGTTTTTGGCTTCCTTTTGGCTAAATTCTACACTCAAGCTTTCAAAAACAAACCAATAGACGATGTCACAGTGGCTACATCCATCATTCATATACAGTTTATGTTCTAACCACATGTCACGGTTCCTCCAGGTCCCTCAGTTTTCGTTCTCTCGTCTGGCCGGAGCTGACGTGGTGCTCGGGGTGGAGATGACCAGCACCGGAGAAGTCGCCTGTTTCGGGGAGAACAGATACGAGGCTTACCTCAAAGCCATGCTGTCCACAGGCTTCAAGATCCCCAAGAAGAACATCCTGCTCTCCATCGGCAGCTACAAGGTACTTGCAGGTTGTGGCAGACATCAGACACGCTCTTTAAATAGAGATGACACTGATGACTTGGTCGTGCAGCAGATGTGAACATTGTGTTCAGCTAAACAAGTGATCCAGCTGGCAGTTGAAATTGTGTATTTTAGTGGAACACAGTAGCACATCACAGTCTTGGGTTGTGTTGAACAGATGCATTTTGTGGCTGCACATCCATGTGGAAATGTAGTGCAGATTTCATCCAAACAAAACCGTCACATGATAGTGTGTGCTTGATAAAAATAACCAGACAATGCAGAATGAATGAACAAGCCATAAAATTCCAAACACAACTGAGTGTATCTGAGCTGTCATCATTTATTATTCGTATCCACATTAGTTGTGACCTTGGCAGCCTTTTTTCTTGGGGGTCAAAATATACAGTTTAATCAACAAATGCTCACACTAGACACAATAAATGATATAACCATTACATCCAATACAATAAAACTGCATCAAAATCAAATGCGTGTAACTGTTTGCTTTGATTTGTGTGTTTGCAGAACAAGAGCGAGCTGCTGCCCACTGTGCAGGCTCTGGAGTCTCTTGGATACGACCTGTACGCCAGTCTGGGGACTGCTGATTTCTACACAGAACATGGAGTCAAGGTAATTCTCTTCAAATATGCTTCACATGTGGATTTCCTTCATCAAACCATCAGGAAACATTTAATTACAAATCAAAGACGGTGGCACCTGGAGAAGTCTTGTTTAGTAAAACCTTTCATCTTGATAATGTAAATTTCAACCTTAAAGGATTGAAATGTACCACAGTTGAACATCTCTTTATACTTGTAGATGTAAAAATGTTGATTCTGTAATGGTGCTCGCCAAAGACAGCGTGAATTCGATTATTTGTAGGGTTATTTATTTCTAGAGAACAATCAAATCAACCCACTGTTAGAAATAGTACTCAGTTACTCATAAGATTTTAAATGTTTACAGTTGTAGAAGAGAAACCAGGATAACAAAAAAATGATTACAAACCAACAAATATGGCCTAATATTGTCTCTTGTGCTGCCTTTTGTCTAACTCGTCCTCTCCAGGTGACTGCAGTCGACTGGCCATTTGAGGAGGACGACAGCGAATGTGCCACCAAGGAGAAGCAGCGCAGCATCATGAACTACCTGGAGGAGAACCACTTCGACCTGGTCATTAACCTCTCCATGAGGAACAGCGGAGGTCGGAGGCTCTCCTCCTTTGTCACCAAAGGCTACAGGACCAGACGCATGGCCATCGACTACTCCGTCCCACTCATCATCGACATCAAGTGCACCAAGCTCTTTGTTCAGGTAAGTTGTCTCTGTTTTTTTGCTTTGTTTCTAAAGGGATTGCTAACCGTAAAACCTGCATAGTGTTTCAAGTATTTGCTTTGCACGGCAGCACAAGTGATATGCAGGGACTTGTGTGCAGGCTCTTCGTCAGATCGGTAGGACTCCACCAGTGAAAACTCACATCGACAGCATGGCTTCCCAGACGCTCGTCCGTCTGCCTGGTGAGTCACTGCAGCTGGCAAACGCAGTAGATTGATGTGTTGTTGTTGTGTTTTTTTCCCCCAAATGATTGTAGTTGATGTCAGAAGCTCTGATCATTTGTCTGCTGCTTTAAAATATAGAACAGACATTTTTCTTTCTTGTTCTTCATAATGTCAGGGTGTTTGTAGCAGAGAACTGATCAAACACAACTAAATCAAGTGGCTAAAACACAGATGCTGTCACTGATACTGACAACAGATGCTTCTTGCCATCTTTGAGGGATGCTTCTGAAATGTGAATTCGTCAACCTTTGACATCAAGCTGTGCTGAAACCTTGTAGCAGTAAATAACACTCATCAAATAGTTGTGATATTAGTTGCAACAAATGCTATGAATATTTTTGTATGTTGGAGGTACTTAGCTCTATAGTGAATGGACTTTTGCTGGCGTGAGTTAATAGATAAATGAAAAACTGATTACATTTTAATGCCCACTAACCTGTTGTCCTAGTTCTGTTACTATGCATGTCCCAGAAACCTGAGCTTGTAGAATTTATAAACACATATAGATAAGCAGGTTACTTGCGTGCATGTATTCACACTGGATGTCTGAAGGTATTCGGTCAAATCGTTTTTTTTGATTGAATCCCAGGTCTGATCGACGTCCATGTTCACCTGCGGGAGCCCGGTGCCACTCACAAGGAGGACTTTTCCTCTGGTACAGCAGCTGCTCTGGCAGGAGGAGTGACTCTGGTGTGTGCGATGCCCAACACTGCACCCGCCATCACTGACAGCAGCACTCTGGCCTTGGTGCAGAAGGTACATGCGTGGATTTTTAAAAACTTGTTTGTTGCGCTTTGTTTGTTTCTGTAAGTCGCCTAGTTCAAATAGTGAGACACTGAAAGGGATCGAGTGTTGAGACTCTGAAAATGAATTAATGTCTAAGTAATGTTAGTATAATGTAAGGATTTTCTTTTTTTCGTTTAGATTTGTATTCTGCCTCTTAGTGTATTTTACCCAAGTAAAATGTGTTTAGAAAAAGTTTAATTAATAGGAGATAAAACCTAAATACTGTGTCATCTTGTATCAGCTGGCCAAAGCAGGCTGCCGCTGTGACTACGCTCTGTATCTGGGCGCCGCTTCAGACAATGCTGCCGTCCTGCCGTCCATCGCCAGCCAGGCTGCCGGCCTAAAGATGTACCTGAACGACACGTACTCCACCCTCAAGATGGACAACGTCTCACTGTGGATGGAGGTAGGCGGAATCTACCCAGTAGATTTTATTGTTTATCATTAGGTAGGACAAATCTGTTTATTTTTTTCTTTATATAAAGAAAAAATGTGTTTACCTGAACTTTTCTTGGGCTGCTTTGGTCTGCTTTATGTTCTTTTAGGTTGTGGTGTTCTTTTGTTTTGTTTTTTTACTCCTCACTGTCTGACAGGTCCAGCTTGTTTCAAATCTCTGTATATTTATGCTACACTTTAATAGAACACCACCTTTTTCTCCTTTGACAACTGACTTCTATTTATGCACTCCGGCCCTATTTCTCCTCCAGGAACACACACACTTTGATGTACAAGTCATCAGAGGGTTTCATATTATCTTGTGCTTGGATGCACAGTCTAATTTTGTAATGACCAACCACTGGAAGGTCACTGCTTCTTATGAGATTAAATAGTGATTTAAATGTTGCAGGTCCCTTATAACCAGAGTCGGGTCTGTTACCAAATGGGTTTACTGCCATTATTTTTTGTGTGAGAACGTTCCTTAAGCTAAACTAAAGGGAGGGAATGGCAGCATTCTGCTTAAAAATCACATTTTTCCTTTATACGATAGTATATTTCCTTTCTTTTTTTATTTTTTATTTATAAGCTGTTTATTTTTTTAAAGATGGCGTAATGTGGCATTTGACTCAAAGGTTTTGGAGAGAAACTTTCAGAGAAATATCATGAAAAGTTACAGCCAATGTCATTAGAGGTGTTTCAACTAAACTGTCTGGTTCTGTTTAAAGCACTTTGAGAAGTGGCCCAAGCAGATGCCCATTGTGGCTCACGCTGAGAGGCAGACGGTGGCTGCCATCCTCATGGTGGCTCAGCTCTACCAGCGGCCCGTTCACATCTGCCACGTGGCCAGGAAGGAGGAGGTAAGGAGACAGTTTCCTTCATTCTCATTTTAGAAGCCAAACTTTTGCAGAACTTGTATCTGAAAAAGAAGATGAGCATACTGGAGTTTAGTGGAGTTTCATCTGTCTACTGATGTGTGTAATTTAATGTGTCTACTTGTTTAGGCTTCTCTGAGTATTATGCACATCCTCCCTATGCTATAAACTTGTGCTTTAATTGAACTTTAAGTACTTTCATCTGATGTATGTTTTAGAATCTTGGCTACACTTTGTAATACTGGTTACTCTTCTATGACTTTCAGATCCTGATCATCCGAGCTGCAAAGCAGAAGGGCATCCACGTCACATGTGAGGTGGCTCCTCATCACCTCTTTCTGTGTGAGGACAATGTGCCAGATATCGGTGACGGGCGAGCGCAGGTCCGACCCATGCTGGCAACCAGAGAGGACATGGAGGCGCTGTGGGAAAACCTGGACATCATCGACTGCTTTGCTACAGACCACGGTCAGTGAGCGCACACTTTCCAGACACTGATCACAGAAATCAGCCCTTTCTTTTAGTCCTGATTATAGTTTTTGTTTGTTTTCTTAGCACCTCACTCTGTGGAGGAGAAGAACAGTGAGCGTCCTCCTCCTGGATACCCAGGCCTGGAAACGATGCTGCCGCTGCTGCTTACCGCCGTCAGCGATGGTCGTCTGACTCTGGATGATATCGTCCGACGTCTGTATGACAATCCACGCAGGATCTTCAACCTGCCTGTCCAGGAAAACACCTACGTGGAGGTACACAGATACACAGGAGGCTGTTCTTTATACATAATGAGAAATGAGGCACAGTTCTAACATTTATTGGTCTTTGTCTGTCAGGTGGACCTGGAGCAGGAGTGGGTTATTCCTCAGGCCATGCAGTTCACTAAGTCCAAGTGGACGCCTTTCCAGGGTCTGAAGGTGAAGGGTAAAGTCCGCCGCGTGGTCCTACGAGGAGAGGTGGCCTACATCGACGGCCAGGTCAGCACTCAGACGCACACTATTCGTTGTAGACTCTTTGTCTTCCAAGCTATATGTGTAAACATCAGGAGGGTAAACTTAATGTGATCAGACTTTTATCACTGGAATGACTGTTCTAATTTCCTATGCTGGTTCGTGATCCCCTACTTTGTAGAGGCGATATTTGAAAATGACAAGTGTTCTGACAGATGAGGAGGCTGAGTTTTTTAGCCTATGTCGCCATTTAAAGGAGCAAACAAAAGCTGTGTAAAAGAAATCTACTATGTAAAACAGTTCTTACAAAAATTACACAATAGTATGAAAATTGTATGATTATCTGTTATTTCCTGATCTCAGAGAGGAGGATTTACACTAATTTTATTCATTATATATTTATGTATGCATGTGCCTTGATTTGTTTCGTTCAAACTTCTCGTCTCCTTTAGGTGCTGGTTCCTCCAGGTTATGGTGAAGATGTGAAGACGTGGCCCACCGCTTCAGCTCAACCTTCTGAACCTGTTAAGGAAGGCCCTCAGGTATTGACATTGCAGACTTGACCTGACTGTTGTTCTGTACTAGTTTTAAGGCTGCAGTCTGTATTTCAATCATGGTTCTGTTCTGTCAGACTCCTGAGCGAACGCGTCCGACTCCTCCCCGTGACGGTCTGGTCCGAACACGAGCACAGAGCCCTCGTCGCGCTGCCAGAGAGGCTGGCTACCTGCTGCCGCCTCGCATCCACCGCTCCTCTGATCCTGGACTACCACCAGGTACTACAAGTCAAGTAATACTCAATAGATACTCCTTCAGGTCAGAGTTAAATTCTCTACAGCGGTAAACCTAAGCTTGACACTGGACGTTTTTCTTCTCTATGGTGTTGAATATAAACAGTCCTCTAAGCTGCACTCCACGACAATGTAGGGACGTCACCGTGCCATAGGCAGTACCACTGAGTTTACACGATTTTCCACACCAACTTTGAAACCAAAGCCTTTTTAAAGTAAACTTGTTTTTGACAACTAGCATTGCTAAAATTATGACACTGAATAATGAATAATGGTACCAGGGAAAAACAGGAATTGTCTCTTTTTCAGAATTTTTCACAGTCAGTCTATATCAGTCTAATCAGGCTGTATAGAGTAAAGACAATGAGCCTGTGCTATCTTATTGGACAGAAATGTATGTATTTTTTTGTTATTTCTGACCATTTGAGAAAAAAATGTCAGAAGTAAATGAGACCCTTTGCTGTGATTCTGGCTAAATTCTCTTTTGGAGGTGTCAAAAACCTTTCTAATCAAGAAACCTTCACTACTACAGTGCAATAAGCTCTGGGAAGATTCCTTTAAAGAGTCATTAAGCTGAATATAAAAATACTACTACTTCCCCCTTCTATATGCTGACCTGTTTATAGGTCTCTGTTTTCCACTGAGTAACTGCTACACTGTGATTCTGTGCTCTCTGCAGAGATGGTCGCGCTACCAGCAGCCAGCGCCGGTGACGGTTACAGCCATCCCCCTCCTCTGTCCAGGCTGCTCTCCCCTCAGTCCGGCCCGGGACAGATACCTCCTGGACAGGTGTCACACTTCCAGACATCTCCTCTGCTGCACCCGCTGGTGGGCCAGCACATCCTGTCTGTCAGGCAGTTCAGCAAAGAGCAGGTAAAAACACAGAAGTGATAAACTGTCTGTGCAACACTGCAGACAGGATGATAAAGCAGGGACGTGGTCTCTCTAGTCTGATAATCCTCTTAATGATACCATGTTGTGTTAATTCAAATTTAAATCATCATTGTACGTGCTGAACTTAACAGTCCACATGTTGTGTTTTTGTTCCTTTCAGATCTCACACCTTTTCAATGTTGCTCACACTTTGCGATTGATGGTTCAGAAGGAGCGAAGTGTGGACATCTTGAAGGTACCTCCAGAACGGTTCTCATGTTACTGTTTTATTCATTATTAAATTATAAAGCCTGCAGACATGCTACAAGTTTAAACTGTCAAATGCTTACAAAGAGGTCTTAGAGGCCCTAAAATACAGTGAGGTTGGATGACACAGTTTGTAACCAGAGCACCAGTCCTCGTAGCTCTTCTGTGACAGTAGTTTGGTCCTGGTGTGTCTGAAGCCCAGCTCGTTCCTTGTTCTTTGTCGTCCAGGGTAAGGTGATGGCGTCCATGTTCTACGAGGTCAGCACTCGCACCAGCAGCTCCTTCGCAGCAGCCATGCAGCGTCTGGGCGGCTCCGTCGTCCACTTCAGCGAGTCCACTTCGTCCACACAGAAAGGAGAATCGCTGGCCGACTCAGTTCAGACCATGAGCTGCTACGCCGACGTCCTGGTGCTCCGTCACCCGACACCTGGAGCTGTAGAGGTGTGTGTTTCAGGGCTGACAAAGCTGTTTTAACCGTTTTTGTTCTTTTTTTGTAAAGCTCAGCATAGCTTCAAATCACTGACATTCAGATAACTGAACAGCTTACGTTTTCATATATCCTTGCTGGAGTTGGGAGAAAAATAAGTAGAATATCCAACGTTCCTACATGGCAAGTTCATGCAGTGTCTGGATGTTATTTGCTCCTGCCACATTTTTATTCACTGTGGGCTCATGTTTCTCTGCAAAAATTCTGTTAGATCTTTTTGCTCATTTTAATTTTTTCATCCTGATTATTCTGTCGTTAAAATGTAGTTTTGTACATATTTGACTAAAGAGGGTTTAGTCTAGAATTTGTTTAGTTTAGAATTTGAAGACATCACCTTGAATTTTATTTTCCACTTCTGACACTAAATCATAGAAAAAAAATACATTAAATACATGAAAATAGTTGTTTGATGCAGTTTGTTAGGAGTTTCAGCATTCTCTTTATGTAACTTCTCTCCCTTTATTGTACACAGAATGCGTCCCGTCACTGCCGTAAGCCGGTGATCAACGCTGGAGACGGTGTTGGGGAGCACCCGACCCAGGCGCTGCTGGACGTCTTCACCATCAGAGAGGAGCTGGGGACGGTCAACGGCATGACGGTAAGGCACATGGAGATAACTTAGATTTAAGTCCTGATCCGGAACTAGATCAAAGCTGTGTGTGTGATTGAGAAACTCACTCTAACTTGTGTTTGGTGTCAGATAACGATGGTTGGGGATCTGAAACACGGCCGCACAGTTCATTCCCTGGCCAAACTGCTGACTCAGTACCGCATCACCCTGCGCTATGTGGCTCCCAAAAACCTCCACATGCCAGCAGAGATCATCAGCTACGTGGCCTCAAAGGGCATCAAACAGGTCGGGACCAAACAGTGTTAGATAGCAGAACGCACAGTGTACAAATACATACAAAATACTTTTTTTAAATGAATATGTATGTGAATGTTATTTTCTCAGTTTCAAAAAAAAGAAGCCCAGGTATGATTTTTTTTTGTGTGTGTATTTTTGCAGGAGGAGTTTGAGAGTATCGAGGAGGCTCTGCCTGAGACCGACGTCCTCTACATGACGAGGATCCAGAAGGAGAGGTTTGCGTCTGAGGAGGAGTACAAAGCTGTAAGTCTAGTTTCATCAGCTGATCTTACTTTACTTCTGATTTAATGTAAGACAAATACTAAGAATTCTATTTTAATGTCCTGCCAACATGTTACACAGTATGCAGGACATCATTTTGTCATGCTTGTATTTGTTACTTTGGTGAATGTTTAAATTGCGTCACATTAAAGCAATCTGTACTGAAAATGCTCCGATAGACAAACTGATGATTGAGACACAAATTTGAAAACATATTTTTTATTCATGACTCTTCCAGGAGCAATAACTGCACATTACATACAATGAAAGAAGCAGGGACTAATCAGAGGTTTTTGCAATGAAATGTATCATATTTTAGAAAATACAGAGGATTATATGTCATGGAATGATGTCTGGAAGAATAAAGGCAATTTTTCTCATCGTGTACAAGCACAAAGAATTCAACCATGACCGACTTTATTGCATTAAATATGCCAGTGAGGAGCCAATGAGACCGAGTACACTGAAACACTGGCTCCAGTGGCAGTGTAGTTATATTGACTTGTTTTGTTTTTTTTCAGTGCCTCTCTTTATTGTCTTTATTGTATTAATGCTGCATCTGCCATTTAAGGATAGTACCTTTTCCGACTGATAGGAAGCTTGGTTTGGATTTACTATGGATCCTTAATCACAAACTACTGAGTGAATTGAAAATAAAAGGTTTAAATCTCCTCTGTTCAAAATCATTATCGGTATTTTTAGTAACATGGGATAAAATTGTGCCAAGTTTGATCAAATCTAGCAGCAGGAGGCTCACATGAATCTATCTCTGTGTCTCTCTCTCTGTCAGTGTTTCGGTCAGTTCATCCTCACTCCTCACATTATGACCGTAGCCAAGAAGAAGATGGTGGTGATGCATCCGCTGCCCAGAGTCAATGAAATCAGGTAAGACCCACCCAGTGTTTAATATACTTACACTAACACTTAAATTATCACGTGATCAGACAAAGGTCAAAGTGTGTTATGCCTGTTTCCAAAAGTACCAGAAATGTTTTTAAATTTACGATGGTGGTTATTCTAACTTTGCATGAGCATTTGAAAGCATCCAAAATTTCAGGTTTTGTAAACTGTGAAGTTCTCTGCAAAGCTTTCTCAGCATCAACAACAGCGGAGGATGAGTTTTAAAGTTGTTGGACATTTATTGAGAAGTTTCTTTTCAAGGCAAACTTGATTTATTAATGTTTCTGATGACTGTAGCACAAATGATTGTTTCTTATTCTTGTTTTCTTGTCATTTACAACCATGAATGATCAACACAAAAAGACGGAATCTGACAACAAAATCGGTATTGAGCACAAAGTTTTGTGACAGAGCCCTGTGCAGGACCGTTTTTTAATCCCGCTTCCACTAGATTTCTGACTATTACTGCCGTTATTGTGCTGTATAGTATTAACAAAGAGATGCATACCTGTCCATCATAACAGATATTTCTAAATAGCATCTTGTTTAGTGTGTGCACTTTGCACACTGGTTGTACCAAAGTCCAATTCGTCATCCCTTAGCCAGCAACAACATGCGCCTCTTTGTTTGTGTACTGTAAAAACCTGATTTAATCTTCTTTTCAACTTCATTTCTCAACTCCATCCTTCCGGCTGGGGTAAATCCCCAGGCCTGCAGTTTAATTTTTGACCACCAGCTCCAGCCTGCAGCAAAATTAAAACCGCCTGCTCCCGTGAGATTCACATTAAGTCCCGTGGGATCCCTATCCCAGTCCTCCAGTCTGTAATGTGAACATAATCGTATTTGTATGTGATGGAGGTTGAGAGCTTGTGTAAAGGGGGTTCTAATAGGACCAAAAAAGGTTCCTTTTTTTTTTTCCTTCAATTATCTTTTTATTCGCTTTTCAACATTTTTTACACATATAGAACAAAACAGACGAAGGTAAAACATAAAATGGAAAACAAAAAGCAAGACGATTAAGGCCTCGGTCACAACCGGATGCACGACTTTTGGGATCGTACGTCCTCTGCAAATTTTGGGCCCTGTGGAGGTCGTAGATGTAGAGGAAAGGTTGCAAAGGCTCCGTCAGAAATGCGTAAGAGAGGATCAAGCCTGCTTTGATCGGATGCAAACTTATTTCAGGACAAAAGTTGAAACTTTAGAAGAAATGGTGATGAAAATAAACTTGGCGGTGACAGCTCGCCTGCAGTGTCACTGTCAGCCCCGGGACTGACTTCCAGCATGATACCGACCATCAGCATCTCCAGTGACTGACCCACTCTTCCAACGGAGACACGGACTAGCTGTAACACTTATTTATATATATTTACTAATGATCACCTCTTAAAAACATTAACGTTATGTCCCAATATAGTGTGAGATCTGCGCATCAGCAATGAAGCCAACAGTTGTGCTCTGTTTGTGTGTATGTGTGTCTGAAATGTAAGAAAACGCTGCTTGTATTCTGAATGTGAAAACATATGATCAGATGCGGTGTTTTCATCCATTCATACTGAGGCAGTGACAGAAGAAACGGCCCTTGCGCTGAGACATGCAGCGCCGTGCTCTAGGTAGCGCTGTGCTGTCCAGGGTCCTGAACTGTACATCTGACTTTGTTACTGCCCTTGTCTCTGATCTTTTCACATGGATTTGTAGAAAATCTTGCCACTGCTTCAGTAATTAAAATGAACTCGTTTGCAAAGGTAGATTTGCTTACAGCAATACAAAACTGATTATAATATGGTATAGCCACTATTTGTTTGACGCAATAATGCAATCGACGATCACTAGCCGTGACCGCGCCTTTTATACTCCTGGTGTGGGGTGATGCGCGCCCACTGTGTGTTCAGTTTTGTTCATGAGTGTGTGCACCATGCTTTACACACAAGAGGCACTTGCTCCCTCCCTCCCACTTGCGTGCGACGAGCATCTTAGACCTCGGATTTTCTTCCCACAGTGCCATAAAAATTTGCACGTCTCACTCACAAACTCCTTGCAGGGGGAGCAAGTTACACTTGCTGCGTCGCTGTTCGCAGAGATTTCATAGAATCTTTCTGACATGTCAAAGATCCTCTCTACATGCTTACGGGCTGTCTGCGACCTCGAAATTTTGCAAGACGGATTTGTGTGGCATGTACCATTTTGCACACATTTTGGACGCAGACAGGCCGTAGGAGCCTGTACGGCCGGTTGTGACCGAGGCCTGAAGTGGACTCAAGAGAAAAGGAAAAGAAACAGCACAAAATAAAGAAATAAATACAATGGCAAAGAATAAGACTGTTTACAGATTAGTCATATGAATAAACAGTACTTCAACTCAACCCATGGCCAAAGTTCATAGGTCTCTTTTGTAAACAAGGTTCAAGCCTGCCGTGCCAAAGTTAGTGGTGTCAGAGGTCCATAAGCGTTTCCCATATCCTCAGGAATATGTCCCCTTTATTTTTTTTAAATGAGTCATCGTTGTTCCAGTCTTAAAGTTTCGTTCAGAATTTGTTTGAACATATTAAATGATGGGGGTCTCTGCTGGTTCCAGTTGAGTAGGATACATTTCTTTGCAGTGTAGGACATTATGTTGATCCTCTTCCTGTATGTGGGATGCAGTGTCTTGTCCAGTTCTGTAGGAGATAGCGTGTTGGTGTAATGTCCAGCGAGGTTTCCACAACTTTGACAGTCAGATCATGTACAGCCTTCCAGAAGTGCTTTAGTTGTCTGCATTCCCAAAAAATGTGCATAATTGATCCAATACATGTTTTGCAGTGATGGCATCTTGAGGATGAGTTAGGAAACATCTTGCTTAAATTTAATGGGGTAAAGTAGGTCCTGTGTAATTCTGTTCGATAACTTTATTGTAAGACAATGATGTAAAAAACATTCTAACATATTATATCCCACTGTTGTTCGCCTGAGTCACATCCCAAACCCTTCAGCCATATATTCTTAAGTGGGGTGAAGGAGGAGCTGTGATATTCCGAGAAAACATTCTAAATTTTTTCCTGTAAGTGATGTGGTAAAGGTTCAGTTTTTGTGCTTTTTGTGGCTCCCCTCTGGTTACTTTCTTTGTAAATATATAATGTGAGGAAATGGCGGGAAATAATAATCATTTGTGTTGATCAGCTGTCGGATCAGGAAGGTATTTTGAGAGGTATAGAAATATTTCATGTACTGATATTTAATGATATTGTTCTTGAGAGCAGCCTTTTCAGTACCAGTTTGATATGTGGTCTGTTTGAAATTCTGGTGTAGTCGGTCAACTAATTTCCTTTTTCGTGGGTGTGTTTTTCTTGCAGTGCCGAGGTGGACACAGACCCGAGAGCAGCGTATTTCCGTCAGGCGGAGAATGGCATGTACATCCGGATGGCCCTGCTGGCCACTGTAATGGGCAGATAAATCCTTGTGCTGCAGATTTGTATCACAAACGGTCAAACTGTTAGAATAAGTGTTTGACATTGAACCTTTGTATTCTTTCCTACAATCTGTGAATTTCTTACTTCCATTCCTAAAAGAGGTATTAGTACAGTTAGATACTAGATTTAGTACACAGTGTCATAAAGTTTATAAAATGTTGCTGTAGCATGGTATTGTTTTTCTCCAGTCAAACACATGGTACTTAATTTCTTTAGCTATGTCTCAACCACAAAACCACTGTATCTTTACTTCCTTAAAACACATTTAACATGTAGAACTGCTTCCTAACCAGCTGTTTTTGTGACCAATGACAATCTTGCTGTGTTTTTCTGAAATGGTTAACAAACCGTCTGTATTTGTGCATCACTGAGTCAACTAGAGGAACAGGATCAGCTCTTCGGGAGGAAAAAGGGAGGTTGGCATCACAATGTTAACTGAGATTATTGAATTATGTGTTTTGGTAGGTGGGTAAAAGGTGCAGCTGCTAAACCTCATTATTCTGCTGCCAAGTCAGTCGGTACCTTTAAAGGGACTCATTTAGTATGTGAAAAACTGATATCTGACAACTGACACTTTCCTATTTTCATATTACCGTTTCTTTGTGCACATACTACATGCTCGGACCAATTATGGTGCCATTTGTGTGAAAATCTTGTTGTCTTCTGTAGTGTTCTTTTACCTAAATCTGTAGCATTCATTGAAAATAGAAACGCACAAATATTCTGAAAGCACACTCTTTGATGGTTCGGAGGGGTAGTTTCTGTAACTGTTGATGATTTCTCATGGTGTAACAAAACTTTTATATCAAAATGGGAATTGATGTCAGTAAAATGTTGGTGAATGGCTTTGTCTTGTGTGGAGGAATAAATAATAAAGAGACAATTTTCCCTTTTGCAATTGACGTTGTCATTTATGCCCACCACATGAAGGAACAGGTTGATAAATGGGGGACAAAACTGTCACGAATTCAGTAATTGTAATAATTTTCCCTCTCATCAGAACAAAACTCTGACCCCTTTTGACCCCCCTTTGACCACAGGAGCGTCATATCCACCACCCCCTCTGAGAGGGGAGCTCTTTGTGATTGGTCAGTTATTTTGCTATTAAAAGGCATTTCACCAGAAAAACAGTGGATTTTCAACCAGACAAAGAATCTCCCACTTTGGTCTTCCATGTTACCAGCTTCAACTGCCACACCCTGATCAACTCTGCTGAAGCTGGAGCCACATCTGCCCCCAACACCAGACGTCACCGAACCCGCCAAGGAAACTGCAAGTATAATTTAACAGTTTAATCTGCTGCTTCGGGTGAAAGACTTTTGCAGTCTCTGCTCCACGTTTGGTTTCACATTCTCAGATTTTCAATCAGCATTTTCAACATCTTTGTATTTTATGTTTTATGTTTGTTATTGTTGTTATTTGTTTGTTTTAGTTAGCAATAAATGTTTTGTGCATATACAGTTGTTTCTTGTGTTTTCTATGGTTTACTTTCAGTCACTTTGCGTATCTGATCTTTATAGTTACCTGAGCTCAAAGTTAATTCCCTAACATTATGAAACACTCTTGACTGATCACCAAGAGTAAACAATTTATTAAAACTATTGTGCTGACTGAGATTATATCACTGGACTAATAATTTAAAGGTTGGTTTTGATAATTTTAATTAATGCATTTAATTAATGCAATAATTTGCTTTCCCCTGCATTGGGTATTCTATATATTATTATATAATCATTTCTGTAAATATACTATTAAAATGTCTTAAAGGAATTTGTTCTAAAGCTGCAGATATATCAAGAAAGAGTGGCCACGTGTATGTGGATGGCTTCATTCAAAAGATATTGTTCTTTAAAAAAAAAAAAAAACAACCCTGCAGAGATCCTGGAGAGTCTGAAATTGATTTGAGTTTTAACTTCCTTGCAGTACTTTATTTCATTCAGTAATATATTTACTATTTCGAACACTCTGCAGATTCTAAACACCATGTTGTGTTTTTTTTTTTCTTCCGTCTTTTAGAGTCTGATGATTTTATAACTTGATGTTTTATTTTCCTGCCTTGTGAAGCACTTTCTAATGTACATTTTGACAAGTGCTTTTAAAATAATCATCATAAAATAAAGATGACTATAATTGCAGGACAAGCAATCTAAAATCTTCATAAAATCTTATTCCAGTGGGCAATAAAGTGTTGATAACGCAGTTTAAAAGCACATTTGCATGCATGATATAAAAAAAAGTGAAATCAAACAATCAAAGCATGCGATGGGATTACAATGCTGCATTCAAGAACTGTCTGAAAACAAAAAATCTAAACTACATCGAAGTTAAAGGCATGGGTCAATGACTCAGCAAAGTTGTAAATATTTACGGCAAATGTGGTGACAAAGCTATTAGGAATAAATACAAAGTAAAGCTGGGCTCCTGGATAAGATGGAACTACTGAGACGTTTGCGGCCCGTAACGAAGGCATTATAAAGTTAAAACAATGGTTGCCATCTTCTAAACGTTTCTCTAGTAGCTCTGTATTGCTGAGCTGCATTAAATCAACTTTGTGGCTATAATTTGTGAAATAAATGTGATTACTAATAATTGTTATGAGCTGTTTATTCTAAACAATGAATTTTTGGCGAAACCTTGAAAGCAACATCTTCCATCCTTCATTTCCTGGAAGGAGGAGCCACGCACGCAGAAGCGACCCGGCGGCCACAAGCAGGCTATCACCGCCCAGGCTACCGGGCTACCGTTACCGTGTCCCTGACCCGTTAACTGGGAGTTAAGACATTAAACCGGATGCCTCTATGATCCAGCTAACCTTACAACGAGATATACAGTGTTCAGTTTGCACAAGGTAAGGCATTTCGGCAGTACTAAATTAGCTAGCACGAGGTTAGCTAACCGCTGGTAGCTGTCATGGTCACGTACGCCGAACCACATTCAAAAATCTGTCAGTTTAAGGTTGACGTGAGGCTCAGCGCATGTAGCATAACCTTAAATTACCTCACAGCGGCAAAGTGTTTCTTTATATCGTATGAAACGTTCGTTCATCTCTGAAAACTGTCAAACAGAATATAAAAACGTTTTTTTAATAGTAATAATATTGTAATTTTGGAGGGCGGTGGCAGCCAACAGTTGTGAACGAAAGCTAAGTTGGTGAGGACTTGAAATAAAGGCTGCTGGACACTAACAGTGTGTGTGGTGTACGCCGAATTCATGACTTTGCTCGTATTGATGTTTTGGTAAAGGTATGACACATTTAACAACCCCTTTAGTGTGTATAGATAATTATAATATGTTAAATTGCCCAAATTGTAAATGTAGGTTGGTCCATCTTTGTCTTCACGCTACAGCGGCTGCTTCTAGCTAGCTGACTGCTGAGTATAACGGGCCATTTGTACAACATGATGTTTTAGTACTCCTAGTTATGAAGTTTTACTATAGATTTGAGGTTTTCCGTGGTGATAAGATGCGTCGTCTTAAAGTTAGGTTAGCTAACAGCTAGCTACCTGTCAGCGCATCGACCAGCATGACAGTTAGTTTGGTTGATTAAGAAAACCAGAGAGATATAACTTATGACAGAGTGACGAGAACCAGAGCTCGTTAAGGGAAATTAGTAAAAAAAAATAATCCCTGTAATGTGTATTTATGAATGGTGGGGTGTAAAATAGAAAGTAGTTCTCCATGTGCGGGGAGATTAGCAAAGGATTAGAGCTCCACAAGGACAAACAGACGACAATCACGCGGTATTCCCTCCTTCATTATATCCGCATCGTTATCCCAAAACACCAGCCCCTTTCCTCCCGGAGCAACCCGTGGTTTGATCCTAAATTTACCACGTCACCTGTCTGTGCAGCTGTTGGTCCGTTCGGTTACCACCGGGATGAAGCTTGCACCACGCAGGTTGCCACATCCGAAGCTACAACACCTCTGATGCCAACGTCCACCTTGCCAAAAAAAAAACTAATATTTCCATTGCATTTAGGATGTTTTCATTCAGGCAGCGTTGCCCTGAACTTAACCTCCCAAAGAGGCTCATCCAGCCAGGCTCTGCCAGCCAGGCTATAATCCCTTAATTATTTCAGGTTCCTTCTTCTCAAGTTTGAGGATTTTTGGGTTCTGGATCCCTGCTTATATCCTACTACTTAGCCACTTTATGACATGAATGTGTTTTTTGATGAGGACAGCAAATGACTTGATAAGCTGATTTAGCAGGAGCCACTGATGATTTGTAACAATTGCACAAGACGCCTGAGTTTTAATCCTGTGCAAATCTGCCTACTCTGTAACATGTAAAGTAAATAATCCAAAGCATATTGCCTTCCACTATTTTCAGTCATTTCTGGCATAAATATGAAGCAACATATGGAGAAAATAGCAGATTAGTCACTCAGAACAATAGCTGTTATTTGATCACCCAGCGTACTCATACAGTGATGAGTTCTGTGTCATGTTTCAGTAGAAGTTTGAATATATGCTCTTTACCACATATATAAATGTGACATTACATTTAAAGCCATGGTTGGTGTTCAAGGCGGGACCACTAATCACGGAAATGCCCAGAGGCCCCAAGACTATAGGGTTACCACATATCATATGATTTACTTGGATTTATTGCGGAACAAAATATACATATCAACCATAGTAGGTCCTTCATCCATCTTGTGACCTCATTTTTCAGAACAGATGCTACGTCTAAATCTGGTTTTAGTTTATATTGACCTAATTTGTCGTAAAGTTGGGTTTTATGAAGTTCCTTTCGTCAAGTTAATCAACACAGAAAAATCCAGGGAAAAGTTGTATTTCTCCATCACAGGAAAGCTGCAAGGCTGCAACCAACAACTGTTTACATTATCAATACATTTTCTTTCATAATCAATTATTTGTTCAATATCATAATCCCCTGTCCAGCAGCCTAAAACCCAAAGATGCTGAGTTTGCTCAGTTTGGGAGGGAAAAGCAGATGTTGGAATTTTCAGAATCTGGTACCAGCAAGTTTTTCAGCATTTATGCTTAAAAAAAATTAATTGAGTCATGAATCTGCTGTCAGTAATTTTCTGTCAATTGAGCAAACGATGACTCAACTTATTATTTCAGTTCTGGGGTACGAGTTGGCTTTCAGTGCCTGTGGTGAAAAAATGAAAGTGACATGTATAGTGGGGGTGAATGGGGACCCAGTGACAAATTTTTGTTGCCCCATAGATAGATAGATAGATAGATAGATATAACTTTATTAATCCCTTTGGTAGAACCTCAGGGAAATTGTTAATCCAATGTTGATGTTAATTGCCCATCCTTGTGATGGAGGCAGCATTTGTACACAGCCTGAGAGTAAAGTCTGCCTGTGAGATTTAACTTGAAGTTTAAAAAAACAAACAAACAAAAAAAAAAAGATGTATTTTTAAGTGGCTTTTGGTGATTAGATTTTTCTTGCTTGAATCAACCATGGGTTTCTAGTTAATGGATATCCATTGTCATACCTGCTGACTCATGTGCCCTGCCTTACATTTACTTCATGCATTCATAGAGAGCATGATTCACTCTGGCATGGCTTTGTGTACTTCAGATTTTGTTATAAAACATTTTTTTACTTAAGTTAACAGATGATTCTTACCAGGTGCATCTGTTGATCCTCTGTGAAACAGTGCCTACAGATAAAAATGATAAACTGAAATAACACATACAGTTTACATTTTCAGTCATCATTGTAACATCTAAACTATAAAACAATTCATCACATGTAGATGAGGTGCCAATGATTAGAGGCTTCTCAGAGAGTGACAGGTGGAAGCTGTCTTATTAAAACCTCTGACATCGAGGGTCTGCTGCTCTCTTTGCTACTGAAATGTGCCAAAATCAAAAGAGCACTCTATTGTCAGGGAAAAAAAAGGTGTTGGATTCCTATGAGTTTGGTGAAGGATTGAAAAATATCTAAAACATATTGAAATAAATTACTTCACTATAAGGAAAACATCTTCAAGTAATGCAGATTTTTAAAGACCTCAAATATGGCCAGGAGTGTCTGTCCCAGTCTAAGAGCAGACCGTTGCATGCAAAGACAAAAAAAAGTCTCCAAGAACCCCAACATTTCATTACACAATCTGCAGGTAACTTGAGTACACATGGGATGTGTAAGGAAACAGTCATAGCTGTTTGAAAAGAATGTAAGAGCAATAAAATTGCATTTTGCCAGTGGACATACAAAGACCAGGTGATTCAAAGATTGACACAGCAAGAATAGACGTGTTTGGCATCAACCAAAGTCAGCTTTTCAAGAGAACCTAACTCCTACTGTGTAGCATGGTGATGGAAAGGTTCTAGTTAAACAGGCAGTACATGCAAGAAAACACTCTTGACATCTTACGGCTGAAAAAGTTTGCATGAAAAACAGGTCAAAACTGTTCTTCTTTTTTTTTTTTTGCTGGTGTCAGAGACTAGTGGACAGTTACGTAAAACACCTACAAGAAGTTATTCCTGATAAAAGGGGCAATACTAGCTTCTGAAGCTACTTGCCTTTTCCACAGGAAAATCTTACATCTGTTGATATTTTTGTTGAGCAAATTTCTGTTGTTGTAAGAGTCTTAAATAAGTGTTATTTCTGCTTTAATAGTAACTTTTATGGCTGTTGTTGGACTTAAAGAGACTGGTGTTCCTATGAATTTGTCCCAATTATATCAATGAGTATACTAAATAATAGAATCAACTTTTTGCATAGTGCAGTGCAGTTCTCTGAGGCAACGATTGTAACCAAGTGACTAATATCGGATGACAATTTGATGTCGCTCTCACTCTGTTCTTATAAATATTTTTTAACACTTGTGGTTGACTTGTGTCAGCCTTGTGAATGTGCTGGTCTTAACTCACACAACCTTTATAAGACATTTAAAAGAGGAGGTTTGCTGTCACCTCGTTATATGAAGTAAGACATTTTCAGCATTTGGAGTGATACTGTATGTTCCCTACTTCGCTCTGATAAAATGTTGAAGCGTCTCTAACTAATGCACATAATTTGTGAGATGCTGGACAGTTTGGTTTGTAAATATAATGTTCCGAGTGGGTATGCTGAATATTCATCGGATGCGGAGTATCAAAGGTTTGTCAAACTGTCAGGCAGAGACATTTTACTTGGCCTTGGCTGTTGCAGTTACATAGCTAACATGCCACACACCTTCGAAAGCTGCAGTTATTTTTAACAACAAAGATGCCTATTTTAAGAGCCACAGTGTTGCTGAATTTCTTAAGGCTTTGTGTCTTTACTGAGGGAGAATTTCACGGGGGTTGTTGCCTGCAGTTCTCACGTGATTTTCCTCATTTGTGGTATTTGACAAGCGCCTTTGTCTCGAGCAGCGAAAAAGGCTTTGTCGAGCCAACACGAAACAGGGGTCAGATTCTTTTAGGTTCTTTACTTTAGTTAACTACTGTTAAATATGGATCCGAGTAATTAAATGAGTCATTTTCGTGTCTATGCTTGCTTTTTTTTTTTTATGCTGGTAGATATCAGCTTGGAAATACTTTAAAATATGTTTATTTGCAACCACATCACTACCGGTTCAGATCATTTTATAAATAGTGAGAAAAGGGCTCGGTCTTGATGTCTCCTCTTGTGAGCTGTTCCTTTAGATGCTGCTGGCAGCTGTCACAGTCTCATAATTGTTTATTCAATATTAGCATCTTGTAAACAAATATCTAGTTTCGTGTCTGCCAGTAACTCTAAGACTATTTGCGAATGCATTTTTTTTTTGTATTTGACATGTCTGTGGGTTTTTAAGAATTTCCCTTCAGGGTGATCTGTATCTGTATGGCTTCTTTTTTTGTACATTTTGAAATAGAAAACGAAAAAAAACCCAGCTTATA